TAAAAGTAGGGGTGCCTGCGTGGTTCAGTCGGGTAAGTGTCGAACTTTGGCTCAGGTTACGATCTCACAGTTCGTGGGTTCAAGCCCCGCATCGGGCTCTGTGCTGACAGCTCAGAGCCTGGAGCCTGCTTTGGATTCTGTGTCTCCTCTCTCTCTCTGCTCCTCCCCCACTTGCACTCTATCTCTTTCTCTGAAAAATAAACAAAAAACATTTTTTTAAAGTATAGATTGTTTTGCCCAAATTTATGTTTAGTTCTTTTTAAATTTTATTATTATTTTTTTTAGAGAGAGCGCACCAGGGAGAAGGCAGGAGAGGGAGAGAGAGAATTCTAAGCAGCCTCCACGTTCAGCAGAAAGCCCAACATGGGGCTCGATCCCACAACCCTGGGATCATGACGTGAGCCGAAATCAAGTTGGCTCAACCAACTAAGCCACCCAAGTGTCCCTGGGTTTTAATGTGACACCAGTCAAAATTCCATTGTACATTCACTTAATGGAATACTAAAAGTATTTTTTAACTTAAAAAATAAATTTAAAAGAATGTGGGAATGCATACATAATAAACTCAGTTTTAAGAAACTGCTCAATTAAGAATTTTTCAAAATGCATAAAAAGCCTTAAGAAATAATGAAAATTTAACAATTGTTATCTCTAGGTAGCATATATGGGGGGATGGGGAACTGGCTTGTTTCTCACTACCTGTGTCATGATCAACCACAAAGGAAATACTCAAGTGAAATTTACAAAACTCAAAAGTCAAAAAGGCAGAAGCTTTTTGACTTTCATAACTACACATAGTTTTCAGATTAATCTAATCACTTCAAAGTATTTTCATTTTTCATAGAATAAGAGGAGAGTAGGACTTGAGGTCAAAGGAGATTCGAAAACGGACCTTGAGTAGGAGATTGGATATGATGGACCAAACTGTGTGTCAGCTGTGAGAATCATACGCTAAAGAGCCTGCTCCCATTTTCCCAGGTGGTGGACTCAAATTACTGAAACCCTCTGTCCATCAAGACCTCCCCAATTCACTGCACTTCTCAGACCCGCGCATACCCCAACAAGCTACCCAATCACAAACATAAATAAGGCTGTCCAATTGATGTGGAAATCTTGAAATTTGGAGCTGAGGGCCAAGGAAGAATTCTTGAGACGTTGGTGCAAAAAAACTGCTTTATTAAAGCACTGGACAGGACACGTGGGCAGGAAGAGAGCTGCACTAGAGTCCTAAAGGCGTTAGGGACAGCACAAGCCTCCAAGAATTTTGGAAACAAGGTTTCCAGGACCTTGAGGGGGTAGCTGTGGTTCGGAAAGGGTCATTTATTACTGTTTAGTAAACCCTCAGTCATGTGACCCTTCAGCTGTGAATCAGTGGGCCATATACTTAGAGGATGATGGCTAACATGTATCTTGGGAGGTAGAAATAAAGGAAGCTTCCAAAGGAATTTCTGTATGTTTTAAGTAGGCACACAGGATCCTGGGGGTTTGGGATAATGCTAAGATTGCCTTTTGCCCTTAGCAAAGTGTCAACATCCAAGCAGCTGACCTCTTGGAAAACAGTCACTCTGCCTATTTCAAGGACTTGCCAATGGGCTGTAAGTTATAAAGAAATTTAATTTTTTCTTTTGCCTTTGTTCCTCACATCACAATCACTCAAGCCCACTCTTCTATCTTATCCTGAACCAAGTCACCCCATTCAAAAACCCACGGCATTTAAGTTATTGCGGACTCTGGCAGCCAACGAAACATAGACCACCAAAAGTCCCCAGGGAGGGGCGCCCGGGTGGCTCAGTTCATTAAGCAGCAGACTCAGGCTCAGGTCATGATCTTACGGTTCATGAGTTCCAGCCCGTGTTGGGCTTTGCACCCACAGTGCACAATCTTCTTGTCTCTCTGCCCCTCCCCTGCTTGCGCTTTCTCTCTCGAAATAAAAACTTAAAAAAAAAAAAAGTCCCCATGGAGTAATCCCTAAGCCCCGCTGACGTACTCCCATGACACCTGCTCTCACGCCGAAGCCTCGTCTCCCCTCACTCATCACAGATCCCCTAACCCATGGCCAGATGCCCCCAGGCTGCCTTCACCAACAACTGACCGCACCACCACCCAGCCCAAGCACTCGTTAAGCGCCGCCCCTCTAAGCAAGCATCTGACTTAGCCCATCACCAGAGGTTTAAAAGAACGGCACACTACACTTCCGTTTCCGGCACACCCCGCGCCGACCACCTCTGCCGCTCACTCTTGGGCACGCGGAGATAACAGGGCCGCATCCTCCCAAACACTGGAATTCAGGGCCGTGGATACACGGCAAGTAATGCTGCTGCCCGCACTGAGCGGCTTCACAATGGGAGCGGTTGTCTTGAAATACATGCGGGTCTGAGGCCTCCGCTCACTTCTCCCGGTCTGTCTCGCTCCCTCGCTTCCAGGCCCGCGCCTCTGCAGCCCGCCCGGGCCGCCACGCATGCTCAGTAGCGCGTCCAGTCCGCCGCGCCTCCGGGAGCCGCTGCGCATGCTCAGTAGCGCGTCCGCGGCGCAGCGCCTCCCGAGTGGGCACTTCCAGCAGGAGGGTTGGTAGCGGAATCCGAGAAGACTTCTGATGAAGGGCAGCGGGCTCTGGGGGACACAGTAGGCCTGTGCGTTGAAGAGGGGTAACTCTAGGGTATTCGTATAGAGGTTGTGGAAGAGGAAAAGGGAAAGGAGACACCGGGGCCAGTAGGAGGGGAAAGCCAACTGTGAGGGCGGGCTGCGTGCCTGACCCTGAGAAAGGGGGCCCAGTGGAGGGGGGCGGGGGAGCTCTGCACGTGGTCGAGGCGCCCGGCCGCAGCAGAGCCGCCGGGGAACTGTTGCGAATGCTAAAGCCAGAAAAAGTGCGGATGTGAACTACTGCATTTCTGGAGTTGTCTGCCGGGCTCCGCTGATCATACCAACCAGCCCTACCCCAAACTCCACAGTCTGTGACACATCCTGGGAAACAAGAGTTCAAGTTACTCCATCAAAGAACAGTATACTTCACCTGGACGCCTCCAACCCATCTGGGTTGGAGATGTCACATAAAGGCTTGGCTTTAAGTGCTTCTTCAACACGCAGGAAGAGTATTTTGTCATCTTCCCAACGACAAAGTGGAGACCCAGGCCCAAATGGGACTAGTCGTGTTAACGTGACCTGTCGTCAGGTGGCAGCCAAGTCTCCTGGTGTACACTTTTATGGCTCTTATTACTTAGGGAATCCCCAGTGGCTTAACTTCCACTGTTTAATTTCTTAGGTTTAGTAATGATGTTTTGATTATGTAGGGGATGCATGATAATATAGATGTGATAGTATCTTTACGACCAGAGGATTCTGAAAAGATAAACAGGTAGGTAACTAAATGGAAAATAGGTACATAACAAAATGGTGAAGTTGCTGAACCTATTTTGTAGGTACATAGGCCTCATCATTATTTAGACTTGCAATCTTTTTATACTTAAAAATTGTTAGAATGCAAAGTTGGAAAAAATAACGATTTCTTCTTTGACTCACGCAATGTGGGGGGATAAGTTTAAGAGTTCTCTGAACTTGCACCAATGGGTTCACAAGGCTTAGGGCGGAAAGCCGCTTTCACAGGACGAAAGCCTCCGAGAGCTGGTAGAGGTGGAGAGCCGCGGCTGCAAGGCTTTGTCCCAGGTTTGCTAGCGAGAAATATGCCTTGTTAAGCCTGGGGTGGCATGCCCCATTCATCTTAGCCCCTAGAAAAGGTAGACAAATACGGTGCCAGCAGTGAAGGGCTGCCTGCTTGGCACCAAGATGTTGATTTGTCTTGACCCTAACCCCTAACGTCACATACCTTTGGAACCCCTTTTCTCTCACACACATGAATAATGATAACTGTTTTATTGTCTCTTTCGGCATGACCATCATATATGTAGTCCTTCTGATCCTAATATGGAGAAAGGACCTTACTCAGGGCTCTTTGTCTCCTCCCAGACATTAGCCTCTCTCGTGTTCATTTCTGCATCTGCTCTCTTGCTGAACATGAGAGAACTCCGGACTCAAGGTCTGCAACAATGTAATATTTATAATTTATTTCTTGATTCCCAGAATTACAGATTTCTAGCTAATTTTTGTCCTGGACTTAGTGTATGTCGGCTTACAGAACAAGAGTGCACATTATTTAGTCCTTTCAGGTTTGTTGAGATTTGCATTATAGGCTAGAACATGGCCAACACGGTAAACTTTGGAAAATAAGTGCTTGAAAATTCTGTGAATTTTGAGAACATTGTATACAATACCTCCATTATATTGATTTTTGTTATGTTGTTCAAAACTTCCTTTTATAAATATTTTTATCAGCGTAAATTTATCTTTTTTTATTCCACGTTTCTTTATACTCTGCCTTCTTTTGGGTTCATGATAATTTTTGTTTCTTAATCATTCTGCCTTTGCCCTTGACTCGTTTGGAAAATATGCACTCTGTTCCTGTTCCCTTAATGATTACTTTAAACATGGATTTTTTTTTTTTTTAGGTTTTATTTACTTAAAATTAAAGTTTCTTTTTTTATTTTAGAGAGTATATGAGCAGGAGAGTGGGGCAGATACCAGCTGCTTCCAGTTTTTCAAAACTCAGGGACAGAAGAGTTGTGATTACTCATCACTCTTAAATCTCAGTATTTTGGGGGGTACCTGGGTGGCTCAGTCAGTTAAGCTTCCGACTCTGAATTTTGGCTCCTGATCTCATGGTTCGGGGGATTGAGCCCAGCATTGGGCTCTGCACTGACAGTGTGGAGCCTGCCTGGGATTCTCTTTCTCCTACTCTCTCTCTCTCTCTCTGCCCCTCCCCTGCTCATGCGCACACACTCACTCTCTCTCAAATAAACGTTAAAAAAAAATAATGGAAAAGGAAAGGGAGGATTTAGGGAAATGGTGAAAAGGGACCTTGTTTATTCTATAGACTTATTTAACTTTTACACCACACGTATTGATATATTTAAATCAATTAAATCAGAGTGGCAGAAGACAATTTGTGTTAAAAAAGAATATTATCCCAAATGGCTAAAAAGTATTACCAGATCCGTTTACACATACCAGCCAAGTTTTTTTTTTTAAGTCTTGTTTAGTTTTAAGCCTAATTACTTCCCTTGCAATTTAGAAGATATACAAAAATTTACAATGCTGGCATTTCTTGATGGATTCTACACCTACAAACAAGAATTTTATGGTATACGATTTTCTTTCATGATCTTATGAAACCTGAAACTCAGGACATACATGTGCTACAAAAATCCTCTGGACACAAAATCACATACATCTTGGACCTTTCTTAAATTACTGCTTTGACTATTCCATATATTCAAACATGAAACAAAACTGTCTTTTAGCATACTGCAGTTATTTGCTCTTCTTGACTACGTCATGTTGTATTTTTTATAAATAAATGGTAATGTGACAGGAACAGAATTTCTATTATAAAGTTTATATGTAAGCAACTGGCCCAGTGTCATTACATTACACTAACTCTCCTTAATAAGTATTATCTGATGCACAGTAAGTTTTGGACTTCATGCCAGAGGCATCTCTTATCACAAGTCTTCAGTCAGCTATCTTCTTTGGTGTGAAAGCTCATTTGTTTGGAAGGTGTTCCAGGATTCCCAACATTTACGAGTTTTTTTCTTCCCCCTCAGTGAAAACTATTATATGATGACCCCTCAAACACACCTGTTGCAGCCAAGTTTTATTTCTGTGTGACGTATAATGGGATTTCTCTTCTAGAGAACAGATGTTGACTTTTCACCTCATTTGTAGGCCTTTCCCTAATGAAATTAGGCTACACTGGTGGTAGATGGTTTTCCATCTATGCAGTGAATATATTCACTGCATTTAAAAGGCCCCTCCTGGATAAGTTTTCTGGAACTGACAAAGACCAAAATTATCCTAACGTTCCCTGCATTCAGAGGGTGTCCTTTGTGTGGATTCTTTTGTATTCCGTGAGATCTGGCCCTTCACTAAAGTCTTTCCAGCGCTGTGTTCCCAAGATTTCTTTCCTGTGTGAATTTCCTCATGTGAAGTGAGAAAGAACTTGACAGAGAATGTTTTCCCACACTCATTACAATGATAAGGTTTCTGTCCCACGTGACTTCTCTGATGAACACTGAGGTATGATTTCTCAAAAAAGGCTTTCCCACATTGAGTGCACTGATATGGTTTCTCTCCTGTGTGGCGTCTCTGATGTCTGATGAGCTGTGACTTCTGGTTGAAGATCTGACCACATGGAACACACCCATAGGGTTTCTCTCCAGTATGGCACCGTTGATGGATAATAAGATGGCTTTTTTGGCGGAAAGCTTTTCCACATTCATTGCATCCATGGGGTTTCTCTCCTGTGTGAATCAACTGATGTCTACTGAGCATTGCCATACTGCTAAAGGCTTTCTGGCATTCGAGACATACAAAGGGTTTCTCTCCTGTATGCGTTCTGTGATGGACAATGAGCATTGCCTTTCGTATGAAAGCTTTTCCACACTCACCGCATTCATAGGGTTTCTCTCCTGTATGAGTTCGCTGATGGACAATGAGATGTGACTTGTCTATGAAGGCTTTTCCACACTCACTGCATTCATAAGGCTTCTCTCCTGTATGAATTCTCTGATGTGTTATGAGGGATGACTTTTTATTAAAGGCTTTCCCACATTCCTTGCACTCATAAGGTTTCTCTCCTGTGTGAGTTCTTCGATGAACGATAAGCTGGGAGTTGTCTATAAATGCTTTTCCACATTCACTGCATTCATAAGGCTTCTCTCCCGTATGGATTCTCTGATGTGTTATGAAGTGTGACTTTTTATTGAAGGCTTTCCCACATTCCTTACACTCATAAGGTTTTCTTCCTGTATGATTTCTCTGATGTACAATGAGCTGTGATGTGTGTACGAAAGCTTTTCCACACTCATTGCATTCATAAGGCTTCTCTCCTATATGAATTCTCTGATGCGCCAGGAGATGTGAGTTTTTACTGAAGGCTTTCCCACATTCCTTGCATTCGTACGATTTTTCTCGTGTGTGAGTTCGCTGGTGAACAACAAGCTGAGACTTACTGCAGAAGGTCTTTTCACATTCTTTACATGCATAGGGTCTGTCTCCTGTATGAGTTCTTTGATGGATAAGTAGGTTTGACTTCTGCATGAAACCTTTCCCACAGTCACTACACTCAAAAGGTTTCTCTCCTGTGTGTGTGCGGTAATGCAACCTGAGCTTTGTCTTCTCTCTGTAGGCTTTGCCACACTCTTTGCATTCGTAGGGTTTCTCTCCTGTGTGAGTCCTGTGGTGTAAAATGAGATGATACTTTGTTCTGAAAGACTTTGGACACTCAAAACATCCATACGGTTTCTCTCCTGTATGAGTTCTCTGGTGCAGAGTAAGATGACATTTTGTACTGAAAGCTTTCTGACATTCAGGGCATCTGTACGGCTTCTCTCCTGTATGAGTTCTCTGGTGTATTATGAGCTTTGACTTATACCTGAAGGATTTGGGACATTCACTGCATTCATAAGGTTTTCCTTCTGTGTGAATTCTGTGATGTCTTTTGAGATTTTTCACCATGCTGAAAGTCTTCACACAGAAATTATGTTCACTGTACTGGGCTGAAGTATGGCAGGTTTCATGTGGAGTATGGAAAAATGATTTCCCATGGCCACTTAATTCATTGGAATTCATTTCTGCAGAATTTTTATTCTGAAGTTTTGAATCTGAATATTGTTTCAAACGTATTCCTCTTGAGAAACACTGAAGGGGTCTTTCTACAAATGGAACAAAGTTTTGCTCAGAGAAAAATTTTTTCCCAATGCATTATTTTCATTATTGCTTAACAGATTCATCATTCTCAATATTTTCCTGATACTAATCCTAAACCTGCCACATTACTTCAGGGAAAAAAAAAAAAAAAATCCTATCATTATGAAATGGAGGGGGATGGAATCTCAAGTCCCTATCTAAAGAGAATGGAGAAAGTGACACAGCAGGTGCACAGAAGTCAGAGGCATCCAATAAAAGAAATAGATAATAAGTAATGAACTGAAGGACATGGGTGTCATCAAATTTTGGAGGGAATCTATGAAATCTCTAGAAGCGTAACAGAAGGGCTATGTGGGAGTGCCTGGGTGGCTCAGTTGGTTGAGTGTCCGCAACTTCAGCTCAGGTCATGATCTTATGGTTTGAGGGTTCAAGCCCCATGTTGGGCTTTGCACTGACAGCGCGAGCCTGCTTGGGATTCTCTGTCTCCCCTTCCCTCTCCCCTCCCCTGCTCACTCCCTCTTTCTCGAAAACAAACATTAAAAAAAAAAAAAGTATACCTCTTTAAAAAAAAAAAAGAAAGAAAAAGAAGGAGAGCTAAGTGAATATGGGTAAGACATGGGGAAAGTGGGTTGTGTCTCACAAGCTGCAAAAGAACAACTGAGCCAAAAAAGAAAGACCGAATGAAACAGGCCAAGATCTGACCCAGAGCAGATAAAAGGAGGTACGTCTTCTCTGAGGTGGCTAGCAAATGAGTCATACACGGTAAGAGAAGGAAGCACCATTCACACTGGTGACCTCTGTTCACTCAAAGTCACCTCTAAAGGTTCAAAGATGATGAGAAAAAAAACCCAAAATAACAAGGGTCCCAAAGCACCAAGATCAACTGTCACTTGGCTTCCGCTAACTCCCACTGCGCTGGTATACTCACCTGGACTACACGAACTTGGGAATTCTCTCTCTACCAGTCCTTGCACTCCTTTCTCCACAGGAACCGTTGCTTCTGGCCAGGGAGCGTGATAACCTGTCAAGGGGTCATCACAGAGAACTGAGCAGTATTAGGGCCTATCGAAGGAAAGTTCTGTTTTAGGGAACAGACAGTAAATCTCAGCAGAACACAAACTCTTTATTCCAAAAATGAAAATAAGTACCGTCACTGGTCATAAGGAAAGTAGGTTCTATCACCTTTCCAAGTCCAAAATCACTAAGGATATCGGAGTACCCATAAATTGTAGCAATGGGGGGGAAAAAGGGGCAATTAATGGGCTCATGCTGAGATATGTAGGAAAGTCGTCTTTACCCAATGACATTAGGTTGCTGTAATTTTCCAACATCACGTCCCGGTAGAGGTTCTTCTGAACAGGATCCAGTAGCTCCCATTCTTCGCAGGTGAAATCCACAGCCACATCACTGAATGACAATAAGCCCTGTAATAACATAACCCTTTTTGATCTGGAGTTAATATAACGGAAAAAATGTAGGAGACAGATGTTATTCTGATTATTTTTGCTATAGACATTTATAAACAAGTATTTCTCCATGCCTAGTTTTGATTTATGCTTTGTGGGCTAATGACTTCATTTAAGCTATCCTTTCTGCATTCTTTAATTTTCACTTATCTTATTCACCATGGAATGTTAGCAAAAGTCTTGCCTAAACCATCTGCAACACCTTAGGGAGGCTTACTGTTAGCATGCTTCAGGTTTCTGAAGAGTTATGTCCAACTGAAAGCTCACAGTTGGTCATGATCTCACGGTTTGTGAGATCAAGCCCCGAGTCGGCTCTGTGCTGACAGCACGGAGACTGGTTGGGATGGATGGACTTGATTGATTCATTCATTCATTCTCTCTCTCTCTCTCTCCCAGCCCCCTGCCCCTCTCTGCCCCTCCCCATTCACATGTGCGTATACTCTTTTCTCTCAAGTTAACTTTTTAAAAATGAGTAATGTTACCTACTGTAATAGGAATACATATGCACTAAAAAAGGAAATAAAGCATAATCCAGCCTTCATGTAGCTTCTGATAGTGCAGAGTGGCAAGTACACTCCTTGACAGAGTTGACATACGGGAAGACATTATGGTTTAAGGGTTACAACAGAAGTATACTCAAGTTAAAACATGGGCACAAGTTGGTGGAGAAATAACAGTCCTGAAGAAGTGGTCAAGCTAGAGCTACATCCGGTATGTTTAGTGGTGTGTCCCACAGTAAGAGCTAGAAGAGGTGGGAGCCATGGGTCTTCCAAAGGGAGGACGAGTTCAAAGTGTTAAATCCTGGGGAGCCTGGGTGGCTCGGTCAGTGGAACAGCTGACTCTTGATTTCAGCTCAGGTCATGATCTCACGGTTCGTGGGTTCAAGCCCCAAGTTGGGCTTTGTGCTGACAGCGCTGAGCCTGCTTGGGATCCTCTCTCTCCCCCTCTCCTGCTTGTGCTCTTTCTTTTTCTCTCAAAATAAATAAAGTTTAAAAAAAAAAGTGTTAAGTACCATACTGGCTTCAAGAAACTGCAAAAAGTTCAGCGAGACAAAAGAGGCCAAAGAGAACAGATGCCCTGGGCACAGGCAGCAACAGACCTTGGAGCAAGTGTTTATATTTCCTATAGACACTTGGTAGACACTATAGTGTTTTTCTTTTTTCTTTTTCTTTTTTTTTTAAGTTAGTTTATGTATGTAATCTCTACACCAAATGCAGGGCTTGAACTCATGACCCCAAGATCAAGAGTCACATGCTCTTCCAACCGAGCCAGCCAGGTGCGCCTGCAGTGTTTTGCATATACAAAAGTATGTTATGCTCAGAATTACCTTTTAGAAATTGACTGTGCTACATATTAACTCATGATACAAAAGCAAACAGAAAGCACTTACTGTGTATTGCTCTAAACACTTCATATGTGTTAACACAATGATCTGCACAATGACCCTTAGGTGAGCATTACTCTTCGCAAGTAAGAAGGTATTTTTTTTAAGTTTTCTAGCTATGCCTTTTATACCTCCTACATTTCCTTAGGAAGATGACCGTTCACTGGGTCCATACTCTGGAGAAGGACAGGAGAAGAATACCCATCGATATTTGAGGACACTTCTTCACACTTAATGCCTGGGAAATATTTACTCAAAAAGTTCATGTGCTTCCTCCTTATATACAAAGTAAATCCCTTTTTTAAAAAATGTTTATTAATTTTTGAGAGAAAGAGAGACAGACAGAGCATGAGCAGGGGAGGGGCAGAGAGAGAGGAAGACACAGAATTGGAAGCAGGCTCCAAGCTCTGAGCTGTCAGCACAGAGCCTGATGTGGGGCTCGAACTCACAAGTGGTTAGATCATGACCTGAGCGCAAGTCAGACACTTTAACTAACTGAGCCACCCAGGTGCCCCTATACAAAGTAAATCTTATGTTTTTATTCTTTTGTGATGGTTTCCAGTATTACCACAGATATGTCTGCAACTCAGCTCTGGATCCCACTGCTTATGTGGCAATGTTCCAACTGTTAGCACCTTGCAACATGTGACATGCAGATTAGCTAGAACTCCCTTCCTCATTGGCTCCTCTGGATCATTTATTCCGTCTCTGGGTCTAAGCACATCTCTCCCAGCTGCAATGTATCTATATACATAGTTCACTTTGTGTAGTGTTTTAAATCGTTAACTAGTTAATTAGTTGTCACACAATGTTACATTAGTTTCAGTTGTATAATAGAGATTCAACAAACTATAGTCATGTCATGTTCACTGCATGTGTAGCTGTCTAAATACAACACTATTACAATATCATTGATTACATTCCCTATGCTGTACATTAAAAAAAATTTTTTTAATTGTTTTATTTTAGAAAGAGAGTGTGAGTAGGGAAGGGGCAGAGGGAGAGAGGGAATTTTAGGCTCTCAGCGTGAAGCCTGATATGGGACTTGATTCCAAGATCCTGGGATCATGACTTGAGTGAAATCAAGAGCCGGCCGCTCACCCGACTGGGCCACCCAGGTGCTACCCTATGCTGTAGCTTTTATGCTCATGATTTCTTCATTCCAAAATTGAAAGCCTGTATCTTCCACTTCCCTTCACCCATTTTGCCCAACTCCTCACTCCCTTACCAACTCTGGCAAGCATCAGATTGTATGCATTTTTATAAACCTCTAGAAATATGGGAAATAAACAGCTCACCTGGGACTTGGTCATTTTCAGCATTCAGGTGTCTCCGGTGTCAAGAGTATCCTCAGTAAGGATGAATTTCTAGACTCGAGATCTACTTTTTTTCCTTTATAGGAAGTGCCTCATTCTGGGAAGGCAGCATCTATGGATTCAAAGAAAGATTTGTTTGGCGTGGAAATAATAATAAAAGCAAGCTCCTGTGCAGGCAAGGAACTGTTTTTAAGCGTCTTCTTTTCTCACTTAACCCTCACAATCCTAGTGGCTAGACTATAATTATTCCATTTGAAAGAAAAGAAAGATCAAACCCCTAACTAAAAGCCACACGGTAACTGGTGGACCAAGGATTAAGACGCAAACCCTCAGAAATGATAGAATCTGATTCCAGGGAAATTACCAGAATGATGAATCATCCTTTCAGCCTAATCAACTAAAAAAGAAGGGGGAAATATCTAAAACAACTATTTTCAGACACAGAAGTCAGAGAAGAAGGGGAACATTGGTGAGCTGAGACTCACTGCCTGGAGACCTTCTAGGCCACAGTTGGGGAGAAGGAACCCAAAGAGTCTAGCAGGCTTGCTGAATTAATGATAAACAAGTCAAAGTCTGAGGAAGCAAAGATGACAAGCACTTGCCAGGCAGTATACCAGAAGAGAGAGAGGGAAAACTCACTCTGCAGATGCACAGAGGGTTCTTTTGAGTCTCTGGCTAAGGTCTAATGAACTGTGAGGAAGGGAGAAGGTCCGACAATTCCTGGAGCTCACACCAGATCAGGAACAGCCAGTGTTCCCACTAGCCTGGGTGGAAAGACCTTCTAGTATGCCTGTTTTTCAAATGTGCAGAGGTCTCAGGAGAATATTACCTCAATAATGGGGACAAAATAAGACCAAAAAGACTCTTATGGCCCCACCTAAGAAAGCTTAAAAGAAAGCCTCCAAAGAATCAAAACTCTTTCAGAGTAACTTGGTTACATCCCAGAGCAAACCTCAAAAGTAGTGAAAGGAATCAAAGAAAATCTTGCAAACAGTGTGAAGCTGACGATATGATATCCAATCAAAAATGACCAGAGATGCAGAGAAGCAAGGAAATATGACCCACGGCTAGGGGGGAAATCAAGCAAGAGAAAGAGACAAAAATGGCCAAAGGGAGAGACCTGGCACCCAGTACGCTAAAAACGCTATCATAGGCACACCTGGGTGGCTCAGTAGGGTAAGCTCAGGTCATGATCTCGTGGTTTGTGGGTTCGAGCCCCATGTCAGGCTCTGTGCTGACAGCTTGTAGCCTGGAGCATGCTTTGGATTCTTTGTCTCCCTCTATCTCTGTCCCTCCCCTGCTTGTGCTGTCTCTGTCTCTGTCTCTGTCTCTCTCTCAAAAATAAACATTAAAAAATTAAAAACAAATGCTATTATATATATACTCCATATATTCAACACATTAGGGACAAGCATGAACATGATGAAAAACTTTAAAATGTTTAACAAATGTGACTGAAACACTAGGAGGACATTTACGTTTACCTCATACCAAAATTAACTCAAATAGATTACAGTTGTAAGAACTGAAACTGTGATACTTCTAGAAGAAAGCACAGAAAAAAATTTTTAAGTTTATTTATTTGTTTTAGGAGAGAGAAGAGAGAAGGGGGAGGAAGCGGGGCAGAGAGAGAGAGAAAGAGAGAATCCCAAGCAGCCTCTGTGCTGTCAGTGGACATGAGATCATGACTTGAGCTGAAATCAAGAGTTGAATGTTTAACTGACTGAGCCATCCAGGAGCCCCAAGCACAGACAAACTTTAAGTGATCTTGGATTAGGCAAAGATTTATTACAGGGCACAAAACGCACAATAAAAAAAAAATTGATAAATTGGACTTCCTCATTACTAAACATTTTTGATATGCAAAAGATAGTTGTAAAATGAAGGATGAAGCCAGAGGAGGTTAGAGTAAAACATTAATGAAGTGCATACTTGATTGAAAGACTTCTATGTAAAAAATATGAAGAACTTTTCCAACTTCACAAAAGAGACAATCTAGTAAAAAAAGGAACAAAAGATTTAAACAAACACTTCCTCCCAAACATAGACAGCAATTAAGCACATGAAAAACTGTTTTAGGTTACACAACGAAAGCAAATTAAAACCAAAATAAAATATTGCTACAAACCTGTTAGAATGGTCATTTATTTATGTGTTTACATATGTGTGTATATATGTATTTATTTATTTATAAGTAAGCTCTAGGCCCAATGTGGAGCTCCAACTCATGACCCTGAGATCAAGACTTGCCAGGTGCCCCAGAATGGCTATAATTTAAAAGAC